TTAGAGGGCAAATAGAAAAGTTCAAGGATTCCGAAAGCCTGGACTGGAGACTAGCAAATTGTCACTCCCAACCATTCATCACTGAACAAAGAAAATCACACCGTGTTTTAGTGTCTTCAGGCAGGCCTAAAAAAGCAACAGAAATGTATTGTCCATGGTTTGGAGACTGGAAGTTGAAGATCAAAGTATTACCAGGTTTGGGTCCTTCTAAAGGACACGGGAAGAGGATCTGTTCCAGCACCTCACTTTGGCTTGGAGATGGCTGTCTTCACATTCACATAGCATTTTCCCATGTGTGTCTCTCCAGGTGTGTTTGTCTGTCAGTCTCCTCAATTTCTCCTTTTCACAAGAACATCAATCATATTGGATTAAAGCCTACTGTAATGTCTCACGTTAATAGAGCATCTCCGTAAAGTCCCAATATCCAAATAAGTTTATATTCTGAGGCACTGAGTTTTAGGAATTCAATATATGAATTGTGAGGGCCTAGAATTCAACTCACTGCACACGGGCAAGCCCCAGTTAAAAGATTGTAAACTATGTCCATGAAGAAAACATGGTAAGGGTAGGGGTGGAGTATTAAAGAACATGGGGAGGTCTGAATAGTTTTTTATGGTACCATTATGTGTTCATTTAATTCATTAATTTAAAAAAGTTTTTTTCAGTAGTAGGGAATGAATCTTAGACCTTTGTACTAAGCTATATCCCCAGGTCTTCAAAAAATATTTTTTTTCGAGGCAGAGTCTCCCAGACTAGACTCAAACTTGCAATCTTCCTGCCTCAGCCTTCCAGAGTTCTGGGATTATAATGTGTGCCACCATGCCCTGCAGTTCTTAATAGTTTAAACTCCAGTCAAGCATAGGGCTTGAAAAACTATAGTCTATGGGCCAAACATGGCCTATTTTTATAAGAAGTTTTATTGGACCACATCTATGTTCATTATTTATTATATATCTATGACTATTTTTGTGTTACTATATAAGAGTAACACATGAGACAGTATGACTTTCAAAGTTGGAAATGATAAGCCCTTTGTAGGAAAAAGTTTACTGACCCCTGATAGTACCAGAATGGCAAGCCTTTAGAAAAAGGTTGCTATGAATTTTTCTGGCTAATAAAGCTAGGCTGCTGAGCCAATGGCAAACACACTTTTCGGCAACAGGGAGTTTTGTCATATGGTGTCAGTTTTGTCATTAGGTAGCTCTGTGACCTTAAGCAAGACAGTTTCCTTGCTCCTGTTTCTCATCTAAAAATTTGTCATGTGCTCACTTGTCTTTGTTTTTCTTCAGTTACAGCCAGATAGTACACCTTTAGTGACTAAAAATTCTCCATTGTATGGAGAAGGCACCCTATTACAGAAATACATCTTTCCTCCCATTGGACTTCTTTTGTTATTTAAAAGAAAATAAGTTACACTTTTTCTGAGCTGGCAACTTAGCTTACCATGGAATTATATGATTATGTAAAGTTCTTTCTTTTAAGTCTATGACATCAAATATAAAGAGAGGTGGAC